GATCTTTCTCCCCCCATGGCAGTTCTAGGGGGCTCTGTGTCACAGGGAGCGAGGTAGGGAGGTCCAGTAGGGGGCTCTGTGCTGTAGTGAGCAGGGTCGGGGATGCTTTTTCCAGCGCTGGGGCCATGCAGGGAAATACCATGGAAACGGTACCACCCTGCTGCCTTCCTCGGCCCCCCGCTCAGCTCCCACCCCTTCTCCGCACTGCACGGCAGCTGAGTACGGTCACCTCACCTGGGTGGACTATTCCCAGCAGCTCCTTCCAGGCGTAGAACTGGAGGGGTCCCTTGAACTCCCCGAGGTTTAGATCAACGGGCACCACCCCATCGTCTTCCTCTTCCTTAGCCTCTTCTTCCTCGGCCGCCTCCTCGTCCTCTTCCCCTTCCTCCTCCTCTTCCGCCTCCGGTTCCTCGTCTTCGTCGTCACTGGTTCTCAGCTCCTCTTCCACCTCCCCCGCCTCGGGCTGCTCTGCCTCCTTCCCCTGGGCTCCCTGCCCCTCACGGATCCTGCAGAGAATCCTATGGGTTGGCAGGAGTGGCCCTACTGTGGTTTGGGGGGGACAAACGGCCAAAACCTACCGCCACCAGCCAATGGGGTCGCAAAAGAAACTAGCCTATCAGCTCTTCCGGCCCATGCGGTCAAGGGCCCTTGACAACAAACGGGGTCACAAGGATAACGGCCTATTGACCACTACCAGCATTTCCTCAGGCGTCATGCCCACCATGTGTGCATTGAGCCAGCCCGCAGAAGAAGGCAAAAGCCTACTACAGCTGCTAGTGCCTGGAGGTTCTCCCATATGTCAAGCAGTGGTGTGCTGCATGTGCTGTGTGCTCGTGAGAGGATAACAGCCTACTGTTGCTACCTGTTAATGGTGGTACTCCTGGAGCCCGAGGTGGTAGAGTTCGGGGTGTGCGGGGCCACGTGAGAGAACAGCTTAACACTGCTACCAGCTCGATGGAGCCCCTCCTGTCGCCCGGTAAAGGCCCCTTCCTCTTAGGGCTGGTGGACCCTGGATTGAACCCCGCAGGCGACCTATGATCTACAATGTTCTCATGGAAATTGAGAGGGACAGACCCCGACGTGGCTTACCTCTCCATCAGCTCCTTGGCATCCTGGGTGGGAGGAGAAAAGGGATGGGGGTGAGGCGACTCCCAGAGGAGCTACCTCCGCCTCCCCCCGTGCCTCTGTCTAGGGGAAAAAATGCTCCCCCACCCCAGAACTGCTGCCCCTCCCCAGTCAATGGGACCCCTGTCTCCTCCTGGACTGACTTGCAGTGCTCATCTCCAGCTCTTCCCCTTCATCCGAGCAGGCCTCATACCCCATCTCTTTTCTCCTGCCTCCTCCAAAGCCCTATTCCTGCCTCATGTCCAGCGAGCTCCGCCCCCACCCAGCTAGCTCCACACCCTCCAACCTCCCCCCAAGGCCTGGCATTTTCCCC